AGATTTTTCAGCCTTGGTGTGCTAGTGGTCCGGCTCCACTTGGCTAATTGGACTAGCGGTTGCGATCAACGTCATCAGACTAGCCCGTGCCCCTTGCCCAGCTCCCCTCTCCTCCCTCCGCTGCGCTCGATACTGTTCCGTCAACTCCACTGCGTCGTCATCTCTTAATGAGTCAAGCGTTGCTGCTAGCACTTTATCTCGAGCCATTTCTCTTACGTATCTACGTATCTCTTCAGATGCTAGCACAAGGAGGTTCGCAAAGTGTTGCAGAGGCTTGTCACACAAAACAAACGAGTTCACTTCTGGGAGGTGTTGGTTTTTGGCGATAAGATAGGTAAGGCGAATAACTCCAAATGCCCACGGTTTGCCTATATTCCAAGGGTCAAGATTAAATTTTGTCAGTTTGAAAATTTTCAAAAATTTTCGCCCTCGCCTCTTCAACGCCCCGTATTAGCCTATCCCGTCATTTTCTGCTAACTCACCACCTCCATTTTTACGGGATTAGGCCACGTGTACGACCACGATCCATTACTCTCTTCCCCTTCCCCGTCTATTCCACGTCACATTATCACGCGCCATGCCGTGCCTTAAGCCCCGCACGCCGCCATTCCCCCTTCTCACTCGGTCACCCTTCGCGGTCGGCCTTCCTCGCAGTTGGCTTCTCACTCGGTCACCCTCCGCGGTCGGCCTTTCCACTCGATCACCCTTCGAAGTCGACCCTCCTCGTGGTCAGCCTTCCAACCTGGTCATCCTTCGCGATCGACTCTTCCAGTCGATCTTCCCTCACTCGACCACTCACAACCCTTGCCTTCTTCCTTATTTCCTTTGTTGGATTGAAGCTGCACTTGGGAATGGGGTACTATTGAGATAGGTGGGCTCATAGGGGCTTTTGACCCACCACTCAAAGCCCAATGCATGATTCAAATACTAAAGCCCAATATCCTTAGAACCCAACGTTGCACCAAGAACCAATGATATCTAGACACTTGTCAAGAGAAGAACCAGCCACATAAATAGACAAAGATCCTGCAGAGTTATTGCACCACACATCGAAACAGAACAGCCTCACCATGAACAAGGCAAGCTAGAACATAGACTTTCGGCCAACATGACAGGTCGGAGTGGACAAGAAAATGATGAACAAAGGATATAAGCAGGTTTCTAAGACAAAGAGAAGGTTAAATTCTTTATCTCCATCCTATCTCTAGATCCCATTGGTCTCTCTCTCTAACTTTATCGTCGAAAGGTTCGCTGGGGGACTCCCGTTCCCCGTTGGACTCTTGTGCAGGTTTCACTGTGGGCCCAGCGATTGAACAACGGTGTAAGAGGCATGGATCAACCAGACCCGTTCCTCAGGGGCTGGTAGTACCATCAGTTGGCGCCACCTGTGGGAAGCTTTCACTCTGTGTGACAATTGTGCCCATTGTTGCCAGAGACGCATTTCCGATAATCCCTACCTGCCACCCACCAAAATGGATGGTCACAACTAGATCTATGGCTTCTTAACACAACGTTGCCGACTCCCAAGCCGACCGTCCTAACCCGAACAACCCACTTCGGTATTTCACAGAACTCACCATTTAGTGATATTTAACAATTAACAATTAGTAATATTTTTTAATAGTGTTTGATGAAAAATACAATTAATTATTATAGGACATATTAGACAATAAATTCATTTATTAGAATCATACGTAAATCCCACAAAAAAATATCTACTGGACCTAACACCTTACGCAATTGTTAGATTAAACTTTTCAATAATTTTCTCTAAAAAATAGTGGACTTTTTTCACCTATTAAATATTTTTTTTGAATTTTTCAAAAAAGTTACTTTTTAAATACACAAGACATACCAAAAAAGAAAAAAAAATTAACATAATTTTGAGAAAAAAAAACAATCACTAATAGCAAAAAGGTTTTAAAAAATATATATGACTTTCCTCTTTAGATTATCCCAAATTTTCTAACTTTTTTTTTTACCTTTAACAATTTGTTCAAAATTATGTCAAAATTTTTTATTTTTCTGATCCATTTTGAGTAGACCAATCTAAAAGGTTTTTTTTTTTTTGAAAAGTTCAAAAAAAAATTAAAAAGCTAAAATAAGCTTAAAAAATTTACTATTTTTTGCTTATTTTGTCTTTTCTGAACTTTTTTTGAAGTTTTTAAATTTTTTTGATTCGTCTTATCGAGTAAAATCTAGAAATCTAAAAAATTTTGAATTTTTTTTAAAAAATTCATTAAAAACAAAAATAAGCCACCAAAAAAAACAAATTTCAAACACCCATATTTTTATATTATTTTCATTTTCATTCTAACATAATTTTAAATTTCATAAAATAACTTTAAAGTGTTTTTCCATTCAATAATTCTAGAGATACAACTTCATCCACAGTATTCTTTAGCCAATAATGGATGGTGGCAGTGACGTGAACAAATAAGTAACAATTAATAAATAGGTGACACATGTACAAATATATAACATTTGGACATATGATTGAATATATAGATAACACGTGTACATATAAGTGATATTTAGACAAATAGACAGATACGTAAGTTTTGAGTAAATCAATATCCTTGTGGCCCAAAAGATTTAAGTTTGGGTTTATTGGCCCAAATGTTTCAAAAAATGAACCTCTAGCCTAAGTACTCTTTACTAAAAGCTTGCAAGTTTTTTGTAAAAATGATAATATCTAAAAAAATACACACGCAAATAAAATAAAATAAAGGAAATTTAGGCAACTTAAAAAAAAGGATGTTTATATTCAACTTCCTAAATAACATTTTGTATTAAGTTAAGAATAATTAAAATATATTTATTAATTTAAGGTCATTAACTTTTGTCTAAACAAAACTACTCGTAGTCCACCTGCAAAGCCCTGAGTTGGTGGAGAACTAGGCAAAATTAAAAAATGAAACACTTTACATATAATCACAAAAAAAAAAATTTGGAGCAATAAAATGATGAAAAACTTTTAATTTTTTTTATTTGCTAATACTCATGCAAATTCTACTTATAAATATATAATCAATAAAATTATATAAATATAATAAAAATGATGATTAACCAGATAAGTTTTGTTAATTTCTTTCAATCATTACATGCTATGTTCTAAGCCTAAACCATTCCTTCATAATCCTCTAACTCTTAACAAACCTAAAACATCTATAAAATAAAATAAAATAAAAACCCACTATTCTTGTGTACTTTCAAAGCACCCAATTTTGCCCCAACAATTACTTCATATGTCCTATTTAAATAAACCATAACCCTAAACCCTTTGGACTAGGGGTGACCAGCGGATATATCGATCCGTCAAAACTGACCGGACCGAACCGAACCGATCCGCCGCATTTTGAACGGATGCGTGATGACGAGCGGACGGTTGCGGATTGATTTTCTCCAATCCGCCAATCTGGCAGACGGATGGCGGATTTGAGATTCCTTTGGCCGCAACCGAACCGCCAAACCGCGAGCACCCCTAGTAATTTATAAGATTTTGTGTTTTCAGTTTGTTTAAATATTCTATTTGTGTTTTCAATTAAAAAAGAGTTTAAATATTATGTTAAAAAAAAGTTTTCAACTTGAATATCTTTTTTGAATTGAAAAAAATAAATGTATTATTTATCTATATTTTTTAGTTTTTAAATCTATCTCTAAAAATAATAAATAGAAAATATGATATATGCTGGTTGGTTTTTGTTTTCAAAAATAGATATAGATGTAACAATACAGAGACATATAATCTCTGCTACTGCGATGTTTATGGTTTTGGTGGTTTGAATTGTTTTTATATTTTAAGAATCACAGATTGTAATACTTTATGTGGATGAGGCATGCTGTGATTGTGATATTCTAAAGTTTTAAACTTTCTTACTTTGGATGAGGCATGCAGTGATTGTAATATTTTTTTAAGTCATTGATTATAATACTTTCTTCTTCTTTTTTTTTTTTTTGAGGAAATGCACAAGTTAAATTATGTTGAAAATTTATAAAATTTTAAACCGCCAAACCGATTCGCATCCATCCGCCAATCCGCTCAATCCACATCCGCCGAATTGGTCGACGGATGCGGATTGATTTTCTCCGATCCGCCAATCTGGCGGACGGATGGTGGATTGGAGGTTCTGTGGCCGCAACCGACCCGTGCCCACCCCTTCTTTGGACCATAGATTTGGATAAGAATTTGAAATGAGAAAGAAAAAATAAAAATAAAAAATGAGATTTTGGTGAAAGGCCCCTTAATTTATATTTTTCCAACAAAAATGACACGCTGAAATATTTTTATCATTAAGTATAAAACAAAAATACTCCATGTTTTACTAGTCTCATCCAATATCATCTCAGACAACCACCACCTTACACCACTACCACTATCACCACCACCAGCTACTGGCTAGAACTCTAACAATCGCCAGTAGGAATGGCAACGGGGCGGGGCGGGGCCGGGGATCACCCTCCCCGTCTCCGATCCCCGATGGTAAGAATGTCCCCGTTCCCGGCCCCGATCCCCGACGGGGAACCTATTACCATCCCCATCCCCGTCCCCTAACGGGGATCGGGTTTCCCCGACCCCGAAAATTCCCCGGATCCAAAAAAAAAAAAAAAAAAAAAGAAGCAAACACAGTAGTAACAACATCCTCAACATCAACATCATCAACAACAATATCATCAAACAACATTAACCCCTAATCGCCAGAGACTGCTTTTTGATCGTTGTTCATTGACCATCAATTTTCTAATGAAAATATTCTAACCTGAATCTCCAACGACCATTTTTCAACCACCACCACCACACTAACACCACCATTAGCAAATAACAAAAAGATTTATTCAAAATTCACTATTTTATAGACAATAAAATTTTACTGTGTATGACTGTAAAAAAAATTTTGTATGAATTTAACATTTAAAATATAAATTTTCACCATTATTATCACCATCACCACAGTTACTCTGATTTTAACATTGCTAGTAGAAATATTAAACAAAAAAAATATTAAAACATTGAATAAATAATATTATCAGAGTAAAATTATATTTTGTGTTGATAGTAAAAATTTTATGTTCGCTACGGATAACTTCAGTGACTTTTTTCCAACAGATCTAAAGCCGTTAGTCTCAAATGTGAAGTTGTTAAGTCTCACATCTGAGTTTGTCAATAGCGAATCTGAGATCGTGAAGGTTGACGGTGAAGATGATGGTCACCGATGGTAAATTTGAGACGACTACTATTTGTGGATGCGATGATGAGTGGCACCGACGAACATTGAAGATGGTAGTTGCTGACGGTAGATTTGAGATGGCAATGGATGTGTATGGCAACGAGCAACCCCGGCCGACAGTGGAGGTGATGAAAGACGATCGGCAGAGATGGTGACAATTTGTGCAAGAGAGATAAAACTGCAGAAAAATATAATAGTGAGATTGGTTCTTAAATGAAGGACAAAACTGTCCATTAATTTAATGCATTATATTTTTGTCCTTTATATCTACAAAAATTCAATCAAGAGCTTTTCCTAATACAATTAATTAGTGTCCTTTTTCCCTCATAAGTGAGTAATGAAATGTGAGTGTTTTGACCAAATATCTACCAAATATCCCACCCAAAAAATGTTATATTTCTTTTACATTTGCCTCATCTTTCCTTTTTTCATTTTCAAATTCATACTCAAATTCTTAATCCAAACACAATCTTAAAAAGGGATACAAAGCCTACAAAATTCAGCTTCAAAATCTCCGCTGTCCTATTTAAACCTTCAGCTAAACCTACACTGACCAATATCTGCTTAAGTGTTAAAGCTTCAGAGCAATTTATGAAACACCTTGCTCATAGGATAAACTTTCCACATACTTCAAAATCTTTTTCAAATATTAATAATATAATACCGTCAATCTCTAACTCCGGGAAGGAAAGAAAAAATAAATAAAAATAAAGGAAATAGCAAAGTATTGTGCATGAGAGGGAGAGAGAGAGAGAGAGAGTTACCAACAGAAATAGCTCCACATTTTTATCATTTGTTTAGGTTCATCCAAACAACATCAATTCCTGCAACCAACCAGCCTTTTAACAGTCGGAAAACATTTGTCTATGAGGAAGACCAAAGACATCAGAAAAATTACCGACAAGATTATTAGCAGTTAGTTCAATCTCAAAGAGGTGCTCTTAACAAGTTTGCAACACTGATTGGCAGCTCGAATTTGAGTTTGCCTAAATCGCCTGAAATTTGGCTTGCCAGTCGTCCAGCCGGTCATTTGGCAAAAAGACGGCAACCGCAGTTGACAAGGAAGACAAGTGTCGCACCGGTCATTCAAGTGGTTATCCAGGCAGTCAACCCGCAAATACAAATTTCGGGCAAACTCAAATTCAAGCTACCAAACAAAATATAAAAAGTAACTTAGGTGAAGAGTCGGAAGATATTCAAATAATACAACAAAAATACAATAATAAAAATAATCAAAATTCTTATTTCACAATATGAAGATTTAATTTCGCACCAGATGTCCAATGCAATCTCCATTCCTAACTTGATGCAGTTTAGAACAATAGTTGGAGTGCTGAATCACTTTGGCAACAAGGCAACAGTGCAATATGAAATCGTACTGTGAATCTTCTTAAGCAACTGACTTAATGTTGTCGCAGCTTTTGTCATATATATACATGTTTCACACGGCTAAAAAGAATTAATGTAATTCAATTATTATATGAGTCATTGTAGGTGCTTAGAAGAGCTTTAAACCTGTTTAGGCATTGCATATGACAATGGAAGAGAGCAGAGGATCGGCAGCTCCACTAATGACAGCACCCTTGCTTCTAACCAGCATTAGATAATTCAACGCATTTTCGGTGATAACCTCCCCAGGGATTAATACTGGAATGCCTGGTGGATATGGACATATAAGCTCCCCACATACTTCCCCAACGCTCTCCCTAACACTCACTTTTCTTTTGCTTGCAAAGAAGGCCTCTCTTGGGCTTAAATTCAAACTCAAGCTAATATCATTAAAGGGTGGATGAGCATACCCAAAGCCAATGTCATCCAACCTCCCTTCCACACCTTGAATTGGTAAGAAAGTGGTTGATAGATGTCTCAGTCCCAACACAAGCCTTTGGACATGCTCTCTACAAGTTCCCAAGTTAATAGCTAATGTAATAGCTCGGGTCCCAGTTAGTTCAGAAACAACCCCGTAGTCCCTATACAAGACCTTGTCAGCTTCAAAACCAGAAAGGCCAAGCAGCCATACACCAATATTAAGCCGCAGGGGATCAAAGGCGGGGAAGTTGGAGAAGCTTGGGAAATCAAGGACTGAAATACCAGGAATTTTATTGATCATATTTTTTGTTTCAACAGCCAATTCCACTGCTTCATTGAAAACTGTTTCTGGGTTTTCACTTAGTTGAGCCCTAGCAGCGTCTAATGATGCTAAAAGCAGATAACTTGGGCTACTACTTTGAAGGGTTTGAAGGCATCTACAGATTCTTTCTCTATCTACAATATTTCCTGACATATGTAACATTGATGACTGTGTAAGCGAGCACAAGACTTTGTGAGTTGATTGTACAGCAAGATCAGCCCCTTGACGGAGTGCTGGATAAGGCATATCGGGATGAAATCCTAAATGAGCCCCGTGAGCCTCATCGACAATCAAAGGAATTTTATGTAAATGACACAGCTTCGAAATCTCACTCAAATTGCTGCATATACCGTGGTAAGTTGGGGATGTGACAAAAACTGCAGCAATTTTTCTACCTTCCATGTCCAATTCCTCAATCGCTTTCTCTACCTGCAATAACAAACATATAAGTCACATGTATAGATGCAATGCCAGAAATGTATTGCACTAATGCTGTTATCATGAATGCTATTCCAATTCTTTATGGTTAAAAGAAATCATTGTTATGCTTAAATGACTATGTCAAAAAGTAAGAAAGCTGAGAAATGTTATACATCATAAGAGAGTGATGGATGAATTGCCAGCTTTAAACTGGAACTGTGAATGTAGTTAGTGCAGACTTGCCTGTGATAGAGTGACCCCACCAGCAATGTCCCAGGAAGAATCATGCTCAGGAATGATGTACTTTGGTATTGCACCAGACAACACCATTGCAGATATGGCAGATATATGGGAATTTCGAGGGAGAATAAGGGAGTCTCCAGGGGAACAAGTAGCCATAATTGCTGCTTGAATTCCACAAGTTGTGCCCCCAACAAGGAACCATGTCTCAGATGCTCCAAACAGTTTTGCTGCCTGTTTCTGTGCTTCTAAAATGGGCCCCTCAGGAGAAAAGAGGTTGTCAAGCTCTGGAAGCTCAGGTAAGTCATGAAGGAATGGCTTTGTACCAATAAGCTGACTCAATGATGATGGTGCAGCCTTCCCTCTGTTATGCCCGGGGAAGTGAAAACTGGCAGCATTTTGTTCTGCTGAAGCTTTTAATGCACTCACAAGTGGGGGGAGACCATCTACCTGTGTTTTCTGGGAATTGGGACTGACACTAGTATCCTTTGTGCTGGTCCTGATGTTTTCAATGATGCTCTTCTTGTCTTGCTTCTTCCCCAAATTTATGATGCTTTTTTCCTGCAAGATATTTTCTCAACAAATTAGCATATGTACAAAAGTAGACATGCCTCATGAATAAGAACCAACATGCCTTGTATACAATGAATTTCAACAAAGAGACTTCCAATAAATAAGCAGCCAATGTGCCTCATATATAATTTATTTTCTGAACCCGAGAGTTGTCACCAAAATTTTCACAACTACATCAATTCAAGTAACTAACAGATTAAGTAGGGGCATAAAAATAATACCTAGCCCAAGTTACAATCATCCACCGACCAATACAAAGAAAAAATTAAAAAATAAATAAATAAAAAGAAAAGAGTGAATCCTTAATAAATGCAAATCAAATTAAACATGAGACAGATTCATTGCTACATTAAACTGGTCCATGACCAAGGACTTACTACTAGTGCCTCCAACTTTAAAATTTTCAAATGCCATTGTCTCAAACTCATAGTTTGAACTTAAAACAATAAATAATCAAAGTACTATACATGTGACACTCTAAATGGGTACATTCGCAAGGAATCACTACCCAATTTGCTAAACATTGTAACCGTAATGAAATAAGCCCAATTAGTCTTATCCTAGAAGTTATCACTTCTAATGCAGAATATAAGAAGCTCAAGGAAGGCTAAATTCAGAGAAGTGATGATATTTGGACGTTGGCATGATTTCATAGAGAAATTGATAGAAATCTTCTATAATTATGTTTCTAGTATTATTAGAGTCTTATTTTATTATTATGTTTAATTTCTAGGATTTTTTTAAGGTTAGGAGAAATTTGGTAATTTTACATTTGCTGACATGGGTCGCCCATGGGAGCTTCTATTTGCACACACCTATTCCTCTTTGTCCACATCCTTCTTAGTTCACACACCTAAAAAATATATATATATATATTTACTCATTGCACACACTTTTAATTCCAGTTATATCCCCATACACAACTTCCAACACTCCCAATCCACACACCTTCCACACCAGCAAGCAACATTCAAACCTTTCACTTCCAGTTGCCATCCCCACCCCTTCACTACCGCGACCCCCACCTCTCTCTCTCTCTCTTTCTCTCTCTCCTCTCAATCGCGAAAAGGGAGGCAATAATGACGGCAGTAGTTCGCAGACGAAAGGGGGTTTCAGATGTTGATGGTCGAACCAATGTGTTTTGTTTGGATGTTGATGGTCAAACCAAATTCATTGGTTCGATGGTTGATTTCCGAATTGACCTCCACTTCACCTACTCCTTACCTACTACACACTCACCCTCTTCTATATATAGGAATCATAAATCATTGTAATAAATATAACATTATAACAATCAATAATACAATCATTTCTCTTTATACATTAAATTTCTACAGAATCCTTAATAAATGCAAATCAAATTAAACATGAGACAGATTCATTGCTACATTAAACTGGTCCATGACCAAGGACTTACTACTAGTGCCTCCAACTTTAAAATTTTCAAATGCCATTGTCTCAAACTCATAGTTTGAACTTAAAACAATAAATAATCAAAGTACTATACATGTGACACTCTAAATGGGTACATTCGCAAGGAATCACTACCCAATTTGCTAAACATTGTAACCGTAATGAAATAAGCCCAATTAGTCTTATCCTAGAAGTTATCACTTCTAATGCAGAATATAAGAAGCTCAAGGAAGGCTAAATTCAGAGAAGTGATGATATTTGGACGTTGGCATGATTTCATAGAGAAATTGATAGAAATCTTCTATAATTATGTTTCTAGTATTATTAGAGTCTTATTTTATTATTATGTTTAATTTCTAGGATTTTTTTAAGGTTAGGAGTAATTTGGTAATTTTACATTTGCTGACATGGGTCGCCCATGGGAGCTTCTATTTGCACACACCTATTCCTCTTTGTCCACATCCTTGTTAGTTCACACACCTAAAAAATATATATATATATTTACTCATTGCACACACTTTTAATTCCAGTTATATCCCCATACACACAACTTCCAACACTCCCAATCCACACACCTTCCACACCAGCAAGCAACATTCAAACCTTTCACTTCCAGTTGCCATCCCCACCCCTTCACTACCGCGACCCCCACCTCTCTCTCTCTCTCTTTCTCTCTCTCCTCTCAATCGCGAAAAGGGAGGCAATAATGACGGCAGTAGTTCGCAGACGAAAGGGGGTTTCAGATGTTGATGGTCGAACCAATGTGTTTTGTTTGGATGTTGATGGTCAAACCAAATTCATTGGTTCGATGGTTGATTTCCGAATTGAGGCAATTCTTTCGATACTGGTAGTCCAAATGGTAAGAAAATGAGTCTTCTTCCCAGATCTAGGTTCCACGATGCCTCTCTCTCTCTCTCTGCTGTTGCGGCAACGGTGGTGTTGCATCGTGAAGTGGGGGGTTACGGGGGTGGTGGGAAGGGTGAGTGAGCGACGAGTGATGGGGTGGGAAGGGGCTTCGATTCGAGAAGAGGGAGGCTGGGGGGAGGCGACGGAGAGAGGGACTTTGTTGAGGAAGGGGACAATTGGAGGGGGTGGTGGCCAACAGTGGGGATAGTTAGGGTTAAGGTTAAGGTTTTGGTTAAAGAAGAAAGGGATATTTTGATAATTTTATTTTAGGATAAAAATGTAATAAAAAAAAATATCAATAAGTGTGGAAAGAGAGGAATAGGTGTGTTCAAATAGAAGCTCCCGTCGCCCATGGTTTGTCTTGTGGGCAGGTTATTTAATTAGTCTATTTTTTTGTTTCTTATTTAAGTCTTAAATTAGTTTTTGAAATCAAATATATTTTAGTAATTTCCTTTTTTGGTTGTAGTTGGTTTAGAAAGTCTCCTAATCCTTTATAAAGTCATGTAATGCTTATAATTGACAGAGTTAATATTTTACAAAAAGTTGATAGCTTTGAAACTTCTTTATGGGTTGAGTGTAGGTGTGATGCCTAAGGAATTGTAAGAGTGATTCCTTGATCTATCTTCTTTTTCTCCCCCCCGAAGCTTTTAATGCACTCACAAGTGGGGGGAGACCATCTACCTGTGTTTTCCAGCTCTATCCCTATTCATCCTACATCATGTTGGTATCAGAGCAAAAGATCCTACTGTTTTGTGGAAGTTCGAAAACATGTCTACGCATCCTAGAAGATCTATCGTAAGGGGAATATTTTCTGAAAACCAAAGAGACCAAATTCTTTTTAAAATTATGTGGAGCAGTTAGATAGTTTTCAAGTTCGGCTTAATTCTTTGGAAAGAAGAGCAGCCCAACAAAAAGTCGTAAACAGACAGATTATAAGGCGAAACAAATAATCTTATTGATGATTCAAAAGCACCCCAAGGAAATCTAATTGTTACTTGAGAAGAGGATGAGGTCCAAACAGAAGACTCGGATGTCACACAAGCTGTAAGGAGTGAAGAATTAATGCATCTTGCTGCTGTTCCAGAACTTATTATGCCTTTAAAGGTCATGATGCTGCAACCCGAGGTCTCCGATGTAGTGCCTACAAAGTCACCTAGTGAATTTGCTCCAATCATAACCAATGAAGTGGCCAATGGTGAATCAAAAGATGACCTTGTGCTAGGAAAAGGGGCTAAAAAGAAAAGAATTGAAATTGTTGGGAATATTGAAGAAAGCCTTATGAAAATTAATTTGGATGAATTTAAATATTTGATTCCTAATGGTTTGGGTTTGTCCCGGCTCCAAGGAGTTTTTTTTTGTATCATCCTACTATGGTGCGCTTGCTCATGTTGATGCGGTTTCGTTTCCTTGGAAATGTGTCTGAGTGTCAGGCACGCCTTCCCAGGTAGCTTTTTTTGTGTGGACGGCAGCCTTAGGACGTATTCTGACGACTGATAATATAATGCGCCGTGGGTATATTCTGGTAAATTGGTGTTGTTTGTGTTGTGGTGATGCTGAATCGGTGGACCATTTGCTTGTTTATTGTCCAGTTACATATCGGCTTTGGATGCTTATTGTGGCGACTTTTGATTTGGTTTGGTTTGGTTTGGGTGCAGCCAAGTTCGGTGTTGAGTCTTGCAAAGTTGGGCTAGGGGTAGAGTTGGGAGGAGACACCGGAAGGCATGGATGATTGCCTCTTATTATTTAATGTGGCTTCTTTGGTTGGAGCATAATAGGCATGTATTCCAAGGGGTGTCTCATTCGATTTCTTGGCTGTAGAGGCGGGTGTTTATGGTGTTATATAATTGGGTTACGGGGTTGGTTGATCCAGATGTTTTAGCTTATGTCGATTTTGTAAAAGATTTGATAGCTTAGCATTTTTTCCTTGGGGGTTTGGATATTGTATTCTTTGCATCATCTTGATACTTTTCTAATAAATTTGTTTATTTATCAAAAAAAAAAATATTTGATTTCTATACCAATTGACTTTGTTATTCCAAAAAATATTAGTCACGTGATTGAAAAGATCAATCTCTCATTATTTCTTTTGCAATATCCAACGAAGAAAGGACAGCGTCAACTTGCACATTTTAATGTGAAGCCATGGATGCAATTTCAAACTTGAGAATTTTTATACTTCAACACTTCAAAACTCAAGGTTGAGTTTTTTCCAACCAAGGGAGAATGATGCAGAATATAAGAAGCTCAAGGAAAGCTAAATTCAGAGAAGTGATGATACTTGGATATTGGCATGATTTCATAGAGAAACTTATAGAAATCTTCTATAATTATGTTTTTAGTATTATTAGTCTTATTTTATTATTATGTTTATATTTTCTAGGATTTTTTTAAGGTTAGGAGTATTTTGGTAATTTTATATTTGCTGACATGAGTCGTATGGGTTGCCCATGGGTTGTCTTTTTTTTAATAAATAATTGCCCATGGGTCATCTTGCAAGTCAAGTTATTTAATTAGTCTTTGTTTTTGTTTCTTATTTGGTCTTAAATTAGTTTTAGAAATCAAAGATATTTTAGTAATTTCCTTTTTTGGTTGTAGTTGGTTTAGGAAGTTTCCTAACCCTATATAAAGCCATGGAATGCATACAATTGATAAAGTTGATATTTTATAAAAAGTTAAGAGCTTTGAAACTTCTTTACGGGTTGTGTGATGCAATCAAACCCTAGGCGTGATGTCTAAGGAATTCTAGGAGTGATTCCTAGATCTATCTTCTTCTTCTCCTCTCTTTTTTTTCTTTTTTTTTCTTTTTTTTACCTCAAATTTCAGCACTTTCACAGCCTCAGAACAGTCCTTACAGCACTGTCCCTATTCATGCTACATCAACTTTCCTCCCAAGCAACTACATTATGCACTTCTTAGAAATGGCAACAATCTCACAACATAGTTCAGATATGATGACACCAAAACCCAAGGTTTTCACTTTTAAAATTGGTCGCAACTGTTTATGGAACAGTTTTGGTAGTCATCATCACCGTTACAGTCGCTATAGCTTCTACTTGGAGGGATGACTCAAGAGGTTAGAAAGACATTGGTTTCTCTAAAATTCAGAAAATTATAAAATTAAACTATAAAATATCAAAGATGAGGGGGAGAGAGAAGAGATGAGTGCGTGCAGAAGTTGTAGTATTTGGTTAGAGAGAAATTGGAGGAAAATGGAAGGAGAAAAGCTCAACGTTTCTACTCCAAACTTAAAACTAAGGTAAGATTTGTTAATTGTAATCTCTTCCCACTTCTCTCATCTCAAAATAACATGATTAAAGTGAATTCAAAATGATTAATTGAAGGAATCTAAATATAAGAACCATGACGTTCTCCTCTCTTTATGACTTTTAGGTATTATATTTCATGTTCTTGGATACCATAGAGGACTCTAGAATAAATTTTTAGACCTTTAATGATAGCCTAAAGTGGCCGTTATGTGAGAATGATCAAAACCCCAAAGATTTGGAAATTGCAATCTAACCACCTTACACTCTTTTGATTGTTTGTCTCCCCACTGCAGTAGGGAGCTTGGGTGCTCAAGTGGCCCTCTACTTACCAGACCTATATTTAACCCCTAAAACATAATCTAAGATTTATGTAAGACTGTACATAAAATTTTTGGACCTTGGCTTACCTAGATGACTTAGTTTTGGGGGTAAGGTTTTTAACAGAGTGAATGGCCCTAATTTTGCTATGTTTGAATCATGTATCAATACGCATTGTATTTTATGCTTTTGTAGTTTGATTATCTTCTGGAACTAATATACTTTTGTGGGGTTGAGGTGAATGGTGATATATCTTGATTTTATTTTCGATACAACCCTGTGGGACTGAAATTTACGTTATGTTCTTTAATAATGAAATGGTTTACAATTCATATGTTCGTTTATGCTTCAAACTATATAGATGCTATCCACTGCTAGTCCCAGCTACTAAGGAGACAGTGAGCTTGCTAGTAGCTATGAATGTATTGGGAAACAAAGTACTTAATGGAACTAAGTGCCATACTGCATTATGAAAAACAATGGGAGCCACCTCTAGAATCTATACAAGCCAACTCTGGAATCCCATATATGGATACAATTGAGATCTCTTTGATCACTTAATTTTAATTTTGACCTAGACAGAGTCCACCCGGTTATGTTTAGTTCCGTTTGGATGGACATTATCATTAGACTTGGACATTATCACTCTAGCTCATTATCTCATACTCTGTATTCAATACATCACCAATTCACCCTCTCTCTCTCTCTCTCTCTCTCTCTCTGTGTATTCAATTCTTCACCAATTCTTCTATCCTATCTATCTTAAAATCCCTAACACGTCATGACCTCTAAACTCCAAAACCCTAAAAATTCTCTCAGCTGCCTATGTCTCTCAACCTCTCACGAACAGAAGTTTCAGTTCTAATTTGCGTCTATGGCTACTCAGCTCAAGCAAAGATAAGATTGTTGCAAGAAGGGATGGCGGCAGTCACTGCAAAGACAGTGGGAGTATGGCATCCGTTGTATGTAAATGTGTAAATATTACAGATCACAGATCTGTTACAAGTCTTTATCAAATTATCATTCATTTTTTTTATTTTTTCTCTACTCTCCTCACAGATGTGTGTATATGTATATACTAAGGTAGAAGGGGAAAACGAAAACCAACCATTTGAAACCATCCAAAACCCGTTTGCTAACCAAAGGAGAGTGATGGTCAGCTTCAAACAGAACTTCCTTCGACGGCAGTTCATGGAATCTACAATCCGAAAGAGTCGGTTCAAGTTGCAGCCCTACATAAAAATAATATGTGAGGCCCACAAGTTGCAGCCCTACATAAAAATAATATGTGAGGCCCAACACTAAGGTGCCACTGTTTTATTAAATAACTACCAAATTAATTCAAACAAGCAATCCTAGGCAAAATAATAAAAAAAGTAACGCTAATTCAAATCATGATCAATGTGTTATCTAGACTGAAGAAATCTATGTGATGCCAATAAATCCATAATTGTTGTACACCATCTGAATATCACTGTGCAAACCTCACATGAGAGAATACAAATAAACTCATCACATTCTAATATCATTAATTTATATCTCTTCAATAACTCTGTATTCTATTTAAAATGTTGTGGCTGTAGAAAGAGCTAAAAAAGAAATACCAGTGTGTCTTCAATTTAATTAAAAAACTTCTAGTCCAAAAGTACTAACCATCAGGTACAGTAGAGCAGATATTTGAAATCAAATAAAAGTATTTCTTTTAACCAATGCTTCACAGAATAAATAAAAGTATTTTACCTTCCTTTGTAATGGTTGATAATTTGCTAATGCAGTGATCATGAGGTTGATGAATAAAACTGGATAGCAAAAAACAAAGGAATGTAGATGAATAAGAAACGCATGTGACCAGCCACACAGGACAAAAATCCAGCACCATATAGATACACCAGCAAGAAGTAATAGTATGACAAAAACAATGCAACTTGAGAGAGGTCAAAACAAAACCCATCGGTCAGTGAATTCATAGCTCCCTCCAGATAAATCAAGGGAATAAGACAATAAAATATGTTACTCCGCATTATTTTATGCAGTACATTATGCTATGACAAAAAAAAAGCTACTTGTTAATTGCCAATTTCACAAACAAAATAACAATAATGGAAGGAGTTCCATGTCTTTAAGCATTACCTATGTGGAAGCGACAATGATGTTATTGATAGGGATGAACAGATGAATATAAGCTTCACTGAAAAACCAACAAACCAAGTCACGACAAAGCCAATTGCTACATGAAACGTTTCTTTCAAAATTCTATACAAAATCATGCTCTAATCAGAAGTTCGAATTTCAATCAGAACATACATCAGCCCTTAATCCTCATGCTTATTTTAACTACAAACAGCAGCGAGACAGATAGGGGAATGGCAGAAACGATGAAGAAGAAATGCCTTCAAATTTTGGTAGTCTATATTATCAAACATTGTCACACCGTTTTCAAGCAATTGGACTAAAAAAAAAAAGTTTTATATTACAATCAGACTGCAACCTGATCACAATTTGCACATTCAACAATGAAATAGTAGAGGTCCTCACATAAAAAACGAAAATTCTATAGAAGTCTATAATCTTACAAACAATGACGCAAACACTGTTGAATACAATACATGATGGAACAACTTTTATAATAGTCTAGGGTTGCCCTGACAAAAATAAGATATCAGCCCTTTTTTTAAATCTAATCTAAGTGTACTATTCTATCCAGAAAAATAAAAGACAAATAAACCTTCCCCTAAGCAGCCACATGACCTGCTCAAAAATCACATGACATTTTAAAGGAGTAAGTTGTTAAGATAATTCGGAGTAATGGATGATTGATGTCACTTTATATCCTGAAATGCATGAATTGTCTATTTAATTTGAGAATTTGTTACACCAAAATCAATCATGTAAAACAAAAACTCAATGCACTTTTCATTACTTGAGCTACTGATGAGCAATGGCTGACTAATTTAAATAATCAAATTCTTGTCAGATCTCAAATCATATTTTGCCTTTCTATTTTCTTTTCTCATGTTTCTCCTCACATAAACAATAAAATTAAGTAGTGCCAGAGGTAAGCATATTGGTCGGTAAAGTTAGGTTTCCAGCCCAAAAACCTAGCACATATTGGAATGTGCATCCACATTGCAAACCACTAGGGTATCACATTTTTTGGACACCTAGGTGCAGACAACATTGCGGCAAAAAAAATATTACTCATCTTTCTTTAGGCAGTATGAGAATGGAAGATAGCACAAACCTAAAAGGCACTTACTACACCATAGACGTTATCCAATAGCATGATTGACAAAAAAAAGATCCAACCCTTCACCAATTTTTTCATCAAATTTGATTCCAAATAGGAGTAAAAAGCGTAATTTTATATGAACTACTCCAATCCTCTCTTATCCCAAATTTTCCTTTTCATCAATTTTGATGAAAAAAAAAAAAATCATCTCCAATGTTTTATCTTTCTAAATTTTCATCCAATTCAAATTTGATGAAAGAGTTGATGGACTCTCAATTTGATGAAAAAAATGACTCCCTTGACTTGATGAAATGACTGGAGCTGATTTTTGAATACTTTTTAAGGTTGGAGATGCTTAGAGCGTCTCCAACGCTTCATCAAATTTGTCATCAAATTTGTCATCAAATTCAAATTTGATGAAAAATGCCTAAAACGTGAGCTCCAACCCTTTCATCAAACTGATATCAAATAGAGGGAGAGCTACTTTTTACGTCAAATCAAGGGAGCTTTATCCTTTCATCAAATTTGTAAGTGACAGATGGACCAGACATCCTCCCGAACATCTTTCTGGACAACCTCTTCCTTGCAACATTGCCCATAAAAGTGTTGGTCAATTTACACAAACCAGTTGACTGGCCGAACATCCACCCGGTTGTCCTCCCGGTCGACTAGTGCAAATTGTCCATTCGAATGCTCCATATCAGATAAAACTTTTACTTAAATTTGATGGGGGGGGTATCAAAGCATTAGGGGGGGGGGTGTGGTAACATTGGAGATACTCAGGTAGTTGATTATAGGTTAATGCCAATTAGAGAGGCTACCCATCAATCCAGCAGAAATTGTGATAGGTGAATATATGTTTATGATTGGGTCAAACCACATCCTCATTCCCAGCCCCAACCCCTCCTCCTCCTACCCCAGACCGTCCCCCTCCCCCCCCAAACCCATCATAGCCCAGGACACCTCCTGTTACAAACCTAGTACACCCTCACCTCCCAGCTCACTCCCAGCTCACCTGCACACCCCCACTTCTCATTCATGCATTTATTCAAACACCTTTCAAGCACCTTTCATTCATGCATTTTTTATTTTCCCCACTCCAAAACGAGCCAGCACAACCCTACTCCCCAAACCCGAAACAGTTGCTAAAGATAAAATTTGACTGAGAGTGATGAAAAAGGAAAGATTTACGAGAGAAAATAAAAATGGAAGAAAAACAGAGAGGAAAAAAAAAACAAAAATTACCTGAGAGTTGAGTGTGGCGGAAAGAGAGAAATGCAAGAGTGAGAGTAACCGGTGAGGGGTGAGGGAAGAGCTGACAGATGAGCTTCAGACTGAGAGTGACGGGTGAGGGAAGAGCTGACAGATGAGGTGAGGAGGAAGAAGAAGCGTGGCGTGGTTCAGAAACGACTGTTTGGTTTACTTTTTCAAATCTATTTTTAAAATGTTTTTTAAAAAATTAAAAATTCATATGGTGTGGGAAAAAAAAAAAAGGAAAAAAAGAAGGTGGTGCACTAATAAATTTTAAGATGATACGAACTATTTAGGGTTGTTTGAGAAGAGTTAGATTAGTATACTTTTTAATTTTTTACAAAAAAAACATAAAATATTAGTTAAATTTGAAGTGATGTGGTAGAGAGATCAAGCCAAATAAGATCATTGTGACTCAAATAGAATAATGCGTTAAAATAGCATGTGCTATTTTAGCACATGCTAAACAAGCACTTAGGCCTATTTTGGGAAGATGGTAAAAAGTGACTTTTTGGCTTTTAACCAAACTTTTGGTTTTTTTAGACAAATGATTTGGAAAGTTGGTAAAAAGTGACTTTTGACTTTTTTTATTAATATTTGTTTATGATGTCAAATCATAATAAAATGACCAAATTATCCCCATTTAGTTTAAAATATTTACAACTTCACCCATGTAACACATTTTAACCCATGTTTGGACAAAGATTTAAAACTGATGGAATGTAAACTATTTGAATAGTTTAAACTAAGAAGCTGATTGTGGAACAAATTCAAACAATTTGAGTATGTTTATTAAACTATTTAAATAGTTTAATCTAATAAAGGAAAAGGTAAAAAATTTTTAGGAAACCAAAATTTAAATTTAAATTTAAATTTAAATTACAAACTTTAGGAAACATTCAGGAAACTAAAATTTAAATTTAAATTTATATTTAAATTAAATTCCCACACTAATTTTTATTGAAAAAATTCAAAAGAATTTTGTCTAAAAAATTAATGTTAGACCCTAAAACGACGTTAACTTTCCATTCACTCATAAATGGTTTTAACGTTCCGTCTTCACCGTGTGACTTGCCACGCGGCAAGGAACACATCACCTCTTCGAACCCACCCCAAAAGACGTTTGGGGTTCACCCAAAATGGGTTAAAAAATATGCCTATATAAAACCATTTTTTCCAACACTCAAATCATGATTCTACACCTTGATTCAAGTATGGTGTTTGGTAGGAGTTTTGGAATCACGTTTCCAAAACTTTGCAGAGAGCTCTGTCTCAGTCGCGCTTTTCAGAATTTTTATTTTTGAAAATTTTGCTTGACCGGTCGTCCGACCGATTGACTGGAATAGTATTTTTTTTTTTGCAATTTATATGTTAATTTTTATATAATTGAAAAAAATATTTTCTGAAATTTTTAAAAAAATTTATGTGCTTTAAAATAATTTTGAGTTGTATGTTTAGTTATGAGTTGTAAATTTTTGTATCAAATATCAAATGTCACATCAACAATTCCCCACTCAAATCAAAACTCTTTTCAAAACTCTTTACCAAACAAATTTTCTACATTCAAATCATAATTACAAACCCCACAAACTCAAAATACAATTCATACTCTCAAATCATAATTACAAAACTCTACCAAACGCAACCGAAGGTATGTATTACCGTGGTTGCGTATACATTGAAATGTAATTTAGGGTTTGTGTTCATTGGTGATGTTTGATGTGTAATTTGTGCTTGTTTTTTATGTTTTTTTGTTGGTGTTTGTGTCGGGACTCTGTGTGTGGGTCTGTTATGTCTATGTTGGCAATGTGTACATCACACGATGTTTGTGGGTCATATGTTGGAGTGTGAAGTGTGGGTTTTTTGGAGTAGGTTTTGTCAATGTTTAGAGACCATAATGGGGGATTTTTGTGGGCTAACAATGGTGTAGATTATGGTTGCCGGTTTGGTAGTTTGGGAATGGTGTCGATGTAATGTCATGTTTGGGTTAATGTTAACATGAGGCTGGGAGTTGTTGGTTTCAGTTATGCGTGTGTACATTGCTCTGTTGTTGTTGGTAATGTGTATGTTAATGGGATGTGTTTACGATGATGTTGTTGGCATGGGCTTTTTGTTTTTGGGGCATATCATCTATTGTATTCATGGTATATACTGAATGGGGTGTCAATGATGCCTAACGTAGGTGTTGAAGCACTTAATAATGTGGTGTTTACAAATGTTTAGTCAATGTAATGATGCATGTGTTAATAGTTTATGATATGGAAGCAGGACATATTTTGATCGTGAACATGAGAACCCAACACGGGATTGGTGGAGTTTGACAATGTTGAAGAGTATGTTTTGTTCTGTGGGTGTTTGAATTACATGTTTGAAGTGTGGCATATGTGACATTTACAAATTGGAAGCATGTGTCTGTCCAGGTGTTATTGTGTGAGTTGATGATGTTTGCTTTTGGGGGGGTTCGATTATTGTGTTTTTGTGACATTATGTTTGGATCGTTAATTTTTATGGACAGTGTGTTTGACGTTTTGCGGCTGTTGTTGCAGGTAGCGAGTGGAGGCAATCACCATAGAAGAAAGCCGCCAGTGTAGAATGTGGTGCGATGGGTGTTGATTTTTTGTCTACAAAATTGGCAGTTAAGAGACAAGCGAAGATACCATTTAAGAACAAAAAGGGTACTGTTTTGATGGTTAAAAAATCGGTGGTTGAGGCAGGAAGACTGATGTATCGCTGGAACATAATCGAGATCATTAAAACTGTTAGTGAGGTTGAATTGGGTGAAGGACACATACGGCACTTGAAGAGAACACCTTTTTGGATGATGATTGACATGGTTCGTAAAATCAATTTAGAGCCAAACTCAATCAAAAAGTGCGATGACACGGTGTCCCGCATTATACAAACACAGAACCGTTCGGACGAGAAGTTCTACATTGGTGGGGAAAGTGTGCCACTTAGAAATAGCGATATACGTCTTGTTTTTGGTATTGAATGTGGCACGGACCAACTAGATTTGGTGCATGGGTCGAGACCCCCTTCTGATTTCATTTAACAACGCTGCAGTATCGTTGGCCGATTTTCTTACAAGAAAATAAAAGAACTGATGGAGGAAGCGTTGCAAGGCAACGAAGAATATAATAAGGATAAAATTGAAGGCCGAAATTACAACAGACTACCGACACGTTACAACCCAACCCATTACAATAACGACACCCATATCCGGATCCCAATTGAAAGTATAATAACATCACTGCCAAACGCAATACGACAACACTGTCATATCCGGGATCAATTCAAAATAACATAGCAACACCCATTGTTCGATTTCGATGTTACATGAAAATATAATCAAGATAAACTTGAAAGCCAAAATTAGAACACATCAGCAACATGATACATCACCCTTAAAAAAAAAAGGCTGAAACTATCCTACCCAACCCATTGCGATAATGACAGCATATCTGGATCCCAATTGAAAAATAAAATAATAGTACCCATATTTCGTTTCTGATGTTACGTATCATATAATCTGAAAAAAATTGAACGAACCACTAGTTTGATACTAGCACTCTATATATAATGGTCATCTCACCATATCATCATAAATCGGCAGTGGCATTACAACCACACACAAAATAGACACCAACAACACAACACCTCAAACAACCCAGTTACCATGACCCATAACATTCGCAACAAAAACAAACCCACACAAACAAACTTAGACAAATGTAACGGACAACAACCAAACAATGTATGACGCACTTGTTATAGAATTGATCAGAACAACACTCCAAACAAATCACCCCACCGGAGAGAAAAGATCACCACTCAAGAACAATACCTCACCACTCGTTGCCCACAAAACATCCAATGTTATTTGACCCAATAACTGTGAAACACATCAATGTTCCATATTCATTCCAACCCAATTCAAAAAAAAAAAAAAAAGGAATACTGAATCACAAAATTGATCATAAAAGGATATTTATGTAAACTCAAATGGCACTAAAATCACTCAAATGTAACTTTCCAAAAAAACAAGACTAATTGCCCTATAAGAAAAATTCTAGGACTAAATGGATCAACTTTCCATAATATGGGATTTATAAGTAAATTTTTTTTATAAAAAAAAACAGAAAAATAAAAAGTATTTATTATTTTCATATAGTTTTATTCTTTTGAGTGAGAAAAAAATTAATTTAAAAATATAATTTTTATGCTTATTTTTGTCACGACCCATCCCGGTGACTAGGGCTGGATCGCAACTAGCTAATTCTAAAATCCCTCAGAGTAATTCCAAGTAATTAAATAATGCAGCGGAATAAAATAAAAGAGGTAAATAAATATCCGAAGCGTACATAGAAATTATTATTTATGTAATGATATAACATTAGTCGGATAATGATTACAAGAGGAAAAAAACACATGCTATTCATGTCAAATTTTGGTTTTGATCCATGGGGCAAAACCACCATTCTTTACATTTCTTCACCTGAAAGGGGTTTTAACAGCTATAAGCACATTGCAAAGTGAGGAATATATACTAAGAGTATACGGGTTTAAAAATTACCATGGATAATTATTTAGGCTAAACAATGATAGTTTTGTTCGAATAAATTATTTTTAACAACAGATATAACACAAAATCATATAACAGAATAATTATAACCACGGTACAGAATAGAACAGAGAGTTAATGGATCCATGACAGACAGAGGGTCACGAAGTGACTAATTAGAGGGCCAAAGGTTATTTAAGTCCCCAAAGGCATGAGACTGTCAGAGGGTCACTAAAGTGACAATTCAAAGGGCCAATGATTATTTAAGTCCCCAAGACATGGGACCTCCGTGGTGGTACTTATTCAAAACTAATGTTTATAAAATTATTGTCAAATATTTTTTAAAATTTAAACAAACATATCCATAGATTTCAATTTAAGCAAATAGAGTTCAGAAAATGATTCACATAATTGGAACATTAACATAACCATAAAATATAAATTATATAAAATAATTTGTGGTAACTCAAAACATTAGTAAAATATATTATAGTGACTCAAGATATAATGTTACTCACTCAAATAGCGACTCCTAATTGTACTCCCACTCATCGTGAGCTGACTCCCTTTTGTTTTTTGTTTTTTGTTTTCTTTTTGTTTTGTTTCCTTGTTCTCCTATTCACAGCACCCCT